TTTTTTTTTTTTTGCAAATTATAGATAATAAGTTTTAAACTTTTAAATAAAAAATTTTTGCTTTTAAACGATAATAAATTTTTTATGAGTTTCAGTCATAAATGAATGAACTAAATAAAATTTTAGCGCATTAAAAAAAGGAAAGGAGTGACAAACAAATCAATCCAAAATAATGCAAAACGATTATGTGATTTTTTTTTATTTATTATGAATAAAAATTAAAATTTAAAATATTTATTAAAAAAAAAAAAATGAATATCAAAGTGATGAAATGTACAAAATTTGTAGCAAACAATGCCAATTTTCTCCTCCACGTAAATGGACATTTCAAAAAGCTATCATAAATCAGAAGTGACAAGAAAAAAAAGCAAGAAAAAATGAGATGAAGAAGAGGAAGAAGAAAAAGATAAAATGAAAAGAAAAGCAAAGATGGAATGGGAATGAAATTCAATAGATTTCGATTATTTCGATGTCGGAAGAAGTAAGCCGAAAAAAAAAGAAAAGAAAAAGAAATGCAAAAAAAGAAAAAAGCAAAGAAAATAGATGAAAAAGCTGAAAAATAAAAAGTGCTTGAAAAAAAAAAAAAAACAGAAGGAAAGAATGAAAGAGAAAGGCTTTTCTTCTTTTTTATTTTTTTTAATGTTTACAATAAATTTCTAATAAATAACTAACTTTGATAAAATTTAAAAAAAAATTTTTTTGATGAAAAATTTTTAATAAAAGACATATGTAAATATGAGGAAAAAGAATAAATAAAAATCTAATTTTTTTGATGTAACATTTATGTAAACGAAGTATATGTATATAATACATCAATTTATTAAAGCAAATTTGCTGGATCTAATGATTTATTTCTTTTTTCTCGTTGCTTAATGTCAATTAACATTCAATATTTATTTTAATTTCATTTTTACTTCCAGCATACAAAGGCTGTAATCATGCAAACTTTTGCAATTTTTTTAACCTATTAACATTCAATATTTATTTTATATAAACAATCTTAACTTTTTTTATTTGTTTAAAACGAACTAATCATATAATTTTTTTTTTCTTTTGTAAAAATAATAATCCATTTTTAGTAAACAATTAAATAATTTAATTTGTCAATAATCAAGCTATGAAAAAATCGAAAAACAAAAAAGTGAAAAATACTTCACTTGAATATGGATTAATTAGTTAAAACAAGACAATCTAATATAAATAAGTTAAATAAGAAGAAGCACGGCAAAAACAAAAAAGAAATTTTCTCAGAAATTTTTTTAATTAATCAAAAAATATCTTTAAAAAAATGAAATGAAATTACTTATAGTTAGAAAGGAGAAAGAGAGAGAGAGGGAGTAAAATGATAAATGAAAATGAGGAAATAGTAAAAGTTTTAGATTAGTCAAACCGTCATTTTCGATGTTAGTTTTGTTGTGTTAGTTAATCTTTGAAGAGTTAATAGTAGTCGGTAAAATTTAAGAGGGATAGTCTGTGCTAATGATAGAAGAGAGATGAGGAAAGAAGTGTTGAGATGAGATGGGGCGCTAACAGGATTAGAAAAGCGCCCCTTTCTTCCCCCTTTCCACCTCCTCTGCACCTCCTCTCTCTTTCTCATCTTCCAATAATGCTATTATTGTTTTTATTTCAAAATAAAACATTGAAGTTAAGCAGGTAGTGATTTCAACTCTGATGAAGCGCTTAACTGCTCTTATCACTGCAACTTCAATGAAATATCATTGAAAGATAACCAAAGTTTAGATACGATATTAAATGATAAAATGTTGGTGAGTAATTTTAGTGATAACAGTGATAGTGCTAATGGTAAGATGTTGGTGATACTAGTGATAGTGAGGTATAGTAATGTTAACAGTAGGATGTTGATAATGTTAATGATAGCTAGCAGGGCTGATTTGTTAATAAAATGTTGGGTAGTGTTAGTGATAACAAATATAATGACGTCAATGATAAGATGTTGGTGATAGTGATGCTGACGATAAGATTTTGCTAGTGTTAATGATAATTAGCAATATTGATATTGATAATAACATGTTTATAATTTGGAGATAAGATAATGATATTGTTGATAAGATTATGATAATGTTAACGATGAATGACATTAACTTTATATTGCCACATAGCAATTGATTATTTAAAATCGGTCAAACAAAATATTTGGATCACAGCTGATCATATCGACATGCTTCAAATGTTTTTGCAAATTTTTAACTCTGATTTCAGATTAAAGTGGGAATGTCTTCGTAAAAAAAATGCCGCATTTTAGAGCCTAGAATGAGAAGAAATTCATAAAGTGCATGAAATTTTAAAAATGAACAGAATCTTCAAAGTAGAATTGAGCAGAATTATTTTGACATTACTTCAACATTATGCAATGTAAAAGTATAAATTAAAATTATTTTTTGCAAAAAAACGAAAAATAAAGCCGGATGTTAATAAAATACAATTATAATACTTGAATTAAATGATATTTGAGTATTTCGATAAAATTCAATTCTTTTAATTTTTTTCATCACTCAAACACACAAGCAAATTTAATCATCGAATCACTGAATTATAATACTGTAATATTGTTATTACAGTATTTGTATTATTATCACTTGGAAAGAACTCTTTTTGAATATTTGACAATTAATTAATATTGATATTCTCCATATTTTTTTCCCACATTTATGAAATTTACACAAAATATTATATAATTGCATTTTAAATGCAATCATACTAGAATATCAATATTTTCCAATGGTTATAATTTTAAAAAAAACAAAATTTTAGCCATGCTTAAAAAAAAATTTTACAGTTTTCTTAAGATTATTTCACTATAAAAAAATATTTGTCGCATTATTCCACCATAACTTTATTTTATCACATAAATATTATATAATTCGTGTTATGCATTACTTTTACTTCTGTCAACCCGGATTGTTATTATCTGTCATTTTTGCTAAAAAATATTCCATCATTATTCCATTTATGATTGATATTTTTCTCCTATTTTTCTTTTTTTTTTTTTTTTTTTTTTGAAGTTGTTATGCTAAATATTAATTAAGTTTTATCAAAATACATTGCCTATTTGAACGAGGGTATATTAATTAAATTTTAACTGTCTGATAAATATTTCCTTTTTATTTAATTAATTTCAATTTTAATTTGTGCATGACTTTTACTTCTATCAATCGGATTGTGATTAATTGTCATTTTTGCTAAAAATTATTCCATTACTGAGTTTATCAATATAATTTTGATCAAATTCCTTTATGATATAGTTAAAATTCTCTTCTTATTTTGCAATATTTTCTTTTTTTCTGTTAAGTGAGAAATAGAATTTAGTAAGAAATAATTTTAAATATTTTAAGATTTGGAATATTTGATAAACAATCTAGATAATGGCAAATTAGGTTCAATATACATTTCTATTCAGTTTACTCAATTTTTTATTTTTTGTCTTTCGTTTTCTTCCATTTGTCAACATTTCTTCGCTTATCGTCTGCTTTTCATACATTCTGTTGACTTTAAAAAAGTTTTGAAAAAAAAAAAAAAAAGTTTAATCAGTGATAAGATGAAGAAAAAGCAACAGAGCTGTTTAACGGTACTAGTTTTAAGAGTAATTTTGTTGCACGCTGACATTTGTCATTTTTTAAAAGAAAAAAAAATGAAGGAGAAAAGAAATAATAATTTTTGCTTGAAATGATTCATAAATTATTTGAATTAAACTCAAAATTAAATTATAAGATAAAAATTTTCGTAAAAATTATTACTAATTTAATAATGATAAATAGAAGGAACAATTGTTGTTGATGATTTAAAATAATAATAAATAATGATTTAAAATGATAACAAAAGCTATGGTATATCAAGTAAAATGATTATTTAAATTTTTTTCAAATTAGTTTATCTATATAGTTGCAAATTCGCCATAAGCCTATTAATTTTATTTATATAATTGTAGATTTTACATTCACAATAGTCGTACTTAATTATTTACTACTTAAAATCTATAACTAAAATTTTCAATATTTGAAATCTTACTTGGGATGAAAAGGCATGAAAGAAAACAGTGAAAACTTTTGTTATAAAATTTATAAATCTCGAGCCAAAATAATAATTTTAATTTTATATGAATTAAACATAATGTTCTACGTTGCAATTTTTTTGCCAAAAAAAGAAAAAATTTATTGCTTTTCAATCACGCTTCCATACATTTTATGTAGCACTCAGTGCTTCAACAAATATATTCTTAATAATAATTTATTGTTTTTACACAATTTTTATTATTCATTATTTAAAATTCATTGTTATTTACAATTTGCTATTACACTTCATCAAATGTATTTCTAATGAAAATTTATTTTTATTTACAGCTTAATATTATACTTATAATTTTATTGTCAATTCAAACAAATATTTTTTGATGCAATCAGTTGCAGGTTAATTAAATGACTTATTAAAAATTATTTTATGTTAAATTTCACTTCATAAATGACAATGATTTATTCTTATATTTTTATCTTTGACAAAAAAAAAACATTTATTTCTGCTAGCATTATTATTACAATTAATGCATCATTAACCAATAAATGTGATGAAAAAAAAAAAGATGAGTGAAATAAGGTGTAAATAGAAATTTTGAACACTAAAATGTCTTTTAAGGTGTGACAATCCGGTTCCGTTCCAGATACGCGTCCGTTAAAATTCTCTTCTGCTTATTTTGCAATAATTTCTTTTTTTCTTTTAATTTAACTTTTTTTTTTCCTTTCATTTTAAGATGTATTAGTAAAACATTGTACTTAACACTTGCTAACATTTCCATCTCCTTTGCCTTCTCTTCTACCTTACAATTTTCTTTTGAAAATGTCAAATTTTTACCTTTATTTTTCATTTTACCTAAAAATGATATATAAATATTTTCTGATAGTGCTTAACATTTATAAGTAATCATTTGATGACTACATAATTGCATTTTTTTCGTTTTTTAATTCTTTAATTTTTATTGTACAGGTAAAATGACTTCTGCTAATGCTGTTGCTTATTCGGCAATTGGCTTATCACTGTTAAGCTTTATGATTAGCATTTATTCATTAAAAGGCTTAGCATCTAAAATTGGTGTTATTAATGCAAAGATTATTGAGGAAGCAAAAGAATTTCGTGGATTGGAAAGTTATATTCGGTAATTTTAATCATTTTCTTTTTCTTTTTCTTTCAAATTATTAGCAATTTACTGATTAGCTTTTTATCCTTTTTGGTTTACTGCATTTTAAATGATTTAAATAAGATTATACAACTTAAAAAGATTAATTTTCTATTCAAATTATCCATATATACCAATAAATAATATATAATAATAGATTCTAATTGCTTTGTTTTGATGAGAAGAAAATTTTCAATAATTATAATGAAAATTTTTAAAAGAGTTCAAAAACCAAATGAAAGAAATGAAAAAATCAAAAATATGCAGCAATTTTTTTTTTTAATAAATATATTGTTATAAAAACTTAATTTAATGAAATTAATAATTGCGAGATAATGGATTATGAAAAAAATGGATGTGAAATTGTTATATGAAATTGAAATTAATGGATGAGTCAGAAAAGTAAAGTTCTTATAAATAATTTATTAGAATTCAAAATTAAGTTTTAAGTTGGATTTTTTTAATTTTTAAGATTTTCACTCATAAATACACATGCGTTTTAAGTCTTTAATCGATTAATAATTTTTTTTTTTTTTTTTTACAGAGATGAATATCATTACAAAATGGCTTCAGCTAGTTTTGACAATATTAGGGTTGCAAGACAAGCTCCTCAATGTCAATGCAATCCAAATAATCGATGTCCACCTGGACCTCCTGGACCACCTGGTTTAAGCGGACAGGATGGAACACCTGGTAAAGCAGTCATAAAATACTAACAAAAATGCTTGCATTTATAATAAAATTTTGTCAACAAAATGTTGTCAAAATTTCCTATTCCATGCATAGAATGTTTAATTCTATGAATTAGTCTAATTGCAGGTCTACCAGGACCAGCTGGTGCACCAGGTCTTCCAGGTAACATGCCAGCTATTAATTATAACTATGAAGGACGTTGTCGCTCATGTCCTAATGGATCACCAGGATTACCAGGACCACCAGGACAACCAGGACGGCCAGGTAGCAACGGATTAAGAGGACCAGCTGGAAATCGAGGACCAAATGGTAATAGAGGATTACCAGGTCCACCTGGCCAATCAGGTGAAGCAGCACCACCAGGTCATCCAGGAGAACAAGGAATACCTGGTCCACCTGGACCACAGGGAGGAAAAGGATTACCAGGACCGCATGGATTACCAGGACAGCCTGGACCACCTGGTTCGCCGGGACAACCAGGTTTGGGAGGTAATCAAGGATTACAAGGACGTCAAGGAACACAGGGACCAGTAGGACAAGCTGGAGCAGATGGACAACCTGGTTCACCTGGTCAAAGAGGTACACCTGGTACACCTGGTGAAGACGCTGCCTATTGCCCGTGTCCACACCGACGTATCGCTATATCACTTCAGAAAGCCTAAACAATCATTTCTTTTATTGTTTACAAAATTTATGTTATAGTAATGAATGAAATGAATTATTTGTATTTACCTTGTTAAAACCATTTTAAAAAAGTTTGAAAGAAGAAATTATAGAACTATTGATAAGCCATTGGTCGTAGGTCACAAATATATTGTTTTTATTGAAAATTAAATTGAATTTTATGCTCTTAATCAATTAGTTCATTAGAAAGTTATGATCCGAAAAGTTTGAATTAATCGGTTGATTTATTTGTTTTGTCCATAAATGATAGTTTTGTTTGAATTTGAAATTAGACCTAATGTTCTTATCAAATTCTAAATCAACGATCCTGCACTTTTTTTATTGCTTATCTTAAAATATGATGATCAAATGTAACATCAATATTTTTTTTTTCTTTTTGCAAAATTTAGTACATACATATAATTAGACATGAAAGATTTATTAATATCACTAAAAAATAGACGGTCACAACTGATGATAATATCATTTAAGTAATCATCAAAAATTTTTATTAAAAAAAATACATGCCTAATCATGATAAAATTTTTAATTAATAGAATTAAAATTTAAATTTCAAACTTTTATGTATGTCTATGCATAATCATTGTTTAGCTTAATGAAAAGAATTTGTAATGCACAAAATAATCCTCATCTTTCACCTTATTGCACTACTTTGCTTTAAGTGATGAAATATAAGTTTTCTCTACTATTATTCAACCATGAACTCAAAAAAAAAAAATTTGATTATCGTTAAGCTAATTATCATATTATTTAGTTCCTCTTCTACCTAAATAAAAAACATTTTTGATGAAATTGTTAACAATTTATATCTTAAAAGAAAAAAAGATTCCCAGGTATCAAAAAAAAAAGCATTAAATTATTAATTACACCAGAGGAAAATGTTAGAAAATCAAAATCCTAGGTATTGATCACTAATTGAATTAATTTTTACTAAACAAATAAATTAATTTTTCATTCGTACTTATTTGTAAAGCTAAGGGTTGTTTGCAACCAAATTTTTATGTTCCTTCAAAAAAAGAAGTGAAATTCAAAAATTTTTTTAAAAGAAATTTTAGAATAATAAAAAAAAATCCATACTTTATGCTATGTAGTTTCATAATTTTACAATATTATACTTATTTCATATTTTATAATATACATGTATTTTAATTTTATTATATTGTATAAAATTTTATAATTATTTCAAAAAAAAAAAAAAAAATTGAATGTTTAAAAGTTTTTTTTTTTAAGAAATTTCGGAATAAAAAAAAACTTCACATTTTATGTTATGCAGTTATTTTATAATTTTACAATGCTATAATTATTTCACAACTTTATAATATTACAATATTGTCTGACAATATTTTACAGTATGTTACAATATTTTTCTCTAATTCTGCTAATTTATATTATTTAGCGATAAAATCAATGCAAAAGATTAGAAGACTGAAAAACAAAAAAATGAAAAAACTGATAAATAAATAAAGTCAACAAACTAAGTGATATAATTATTCACAAAAATGTGTAAAAAAATCATTGGATGACAATGCGACACAATATATTGATTAAAAAATTGTTTTTAGTTTTCGCACTGATTGAATAACAGAGGCAGTGCTGGTGACAGTTCTGTTTTTTTTCTCCTCAAAAAAAAAAAACAATTTTATTTCTCAGAATGAAAATTTATCACCTGCATAGTTAGTAAATTTTTTTAATATCAAATTAATATAATTAATTTAGAAAGAATTATTCATTGATGATAATAAATAATCATTTATCATTCGTATGCTTTTTACCTTATTATCTACAAATTTCTAATTTGCCAAAATAATTTATTTATCCAAACTAATTAATTTAATCATTATAATTTATCATTCATTTATTATCATTTTCTAACGCTTTTCTTCTCGTATGTTTTTAGTTTCCGCACTGATTGAAAATATTTTAAGCAACATTAAAATTATTTTAAGCATTAATTTAATTAGTCAAGTTCATAAAAAAAAGAAAAAAAATTACTTAACTTGTTCTTCACAACTTTATTTTTCTTTTGCAAATTTGATGCTTAAAATAATTTTGATGTTGATTACGATGCTTAAAATAGTGATTTTAATGAAGTGGAGTTTTAATTAGCAAATCGAAACATATTTTATCAATTAATGACAAGTATATATATAATTTTATCACCTTATCACTTCTACTGCTAAACGTACTTTAACGGTTTGTAATATTTTTGTAAATTATGCATACTACAAAATGTTAGTTTAATACTTTAAAAAAGGAAATGAGTTACCGATTGAAATTAATAATGGTAAAAACTATTGGTTGAATTTAACAATATTAAAAAGCTTAGTAATTAATTTATAAATTGTTAATTGCAAGTAAATATTTGTGCAATAACGAAATAATACTACTTCAAACTTCAAAAATAACAAAAAAAAAACAAGTCATATTTATTTGTCAATAATCTTTCCTTTCTTTTTTTTTGTTTTTTTTCTGTAATAATTTTTTAAACAGTTTTAGATGATTATATCAATCAAACTTAATGTGATACTTCTTAGCTGTTTACCATTAACCGCATTATTTGTCGCCGAACGTTCCACAAAAATGTGCCAGTTATGTTTATTAGAAATGGTTGGCATCATTCATATTTTAAACGATAGCAAGGTTAATTTAATTTATTTATTTTTTACATCATTCATCAGATTTTGCTTTGATATATCTTAAAAAATATTGCAATTTCATACATATTTAATACAATGAAAATAATTTCTCAATTAATTAAATGAACTTGAAGTTTATGATTAATTGATCAAATTACTGATCTTCTTTTTCTTTCTCTTCCTTGCAGTTTGAAATGTTTTTTACCATTTTTTTTTTAACTTTCATATTTTACATAATATTATCGTGATAGAATATAATTTTAAAATCCTATTCGACAAAATTATTGGTTGAAAAAAATCTCTCTCTTTTCCCCTCTCCCCACTAGCTAGATTCTTTCTGTTTCTTTTATTTAATTTTTATTTAAGACAACAATACTGGTAAAAATCGATGAGAAATGTAACAAAATTTGTGGAATGGATATGGAATTGTATCGAATATGTGTTACAACAATGAGTAAAATTTATTTAAAAATTGCCGGCCAAATGGAAAAAGAATTTAATCCAAATATTTTTTGTAAAAAGATGCATATTTGCCCGAAATATTTATAAAATTTATTCTTTTTTATTTGTTTAAATGTAGAAAAACGCTCAAATGTAATAAACAAAAAGTAATATTTAAATAAAATTAAGCATTTTTTATCATTTTTTGCTTTCTTTTTGTAAATTTTTTTCTTTTTTGCTTTTGCAAATTGTTGCAAATAGCTTTTCCCACTTATCAATCAGAGTAAGTAATGCTTAATGGATTTGCATTCCCAATGAATTTTTTTGTGTTTTGGAAGAAAATAAATTTGAATTTTAGCTATTTTGCACTTTTTTTGCAATTTAAGTGTAAATTGCTAGGATTACAAATGCATTACAAAAAAAAAAAAAAAAAAAAAAAGGGAAAAAGGAAAAAAGAAAAAAAAAGAGAGAATGGAATAAGTATTTTGACGTAATTAGCAAAATATTTAATAGTTGAACTAATCATTTTATAAATAAAATGATCTATTGTTTTATTGCTATGTTTATTTTAATAAGCTATTTCATTTATTCGTTTATTTATTTATTTGTTCATCTATTTACTCATTTTTGTCGTTTATTTTTGAAGTATTTCAGAATTTAGCAAATTACGAATGTAATATAATTGATAAAGTATCCATTGTTTTATTACAATTGTGTATTTTAATAAAAATGTTTGATAGATTGACCACAAAAAAATGATTTGCAAAATATCAATTGTTTAATTTGAATATATATATATATATATATATATATATATATATATATTCTCTTCATGTAAATTCTGATTAAATCCTTTTTTATTAGTTTTATAAGACTAGTGAATTATCTTTGTTGAATTTAATTAACTCTGACATTCATCTTAAATTTCTTCTGTAAAATATACCTGCATAACTTTGATATTTTAAATTTACACATTACTTGCTACTCTTTTTATAAAATTACTGAATGAGATGTAATCAGCAACATTTTCCAACTAAATGCAAATTATTTATAAAATGTAACCAAAAAAAGAAAAAAAAATCAGAAATATTAACTGAAAATGTTAATTCATATATGTTACACTTTAATATTAATTTTTGATCATAGTAATTTCTGATCGTAATCATAGTAAAACTCATATTGATATAATTTATATATGTTACTTTATTTCATATCCTTTTTTCAATTACTTGCAATTTTTTTGACAATGAATAACTAAATATCATAAACAATTTGTACTAAAAGATTTAAAATTATAAAATTGTATTAAATGTTTCATTTTAATTATCAAATAATTTTTCATACTTTTTGCATTTTGTATTTAAATTAATATAATTTTACATGAGATAAATCATTATATATATTTTATATGTGATAAATCATTTCTTTTTAATTTAATTTACTTGAATAGAATATAATTATATTTGAATGAATTGAAATCTATGGTTTTTGGTTTTTGAAATATTTATTTATAATATACTGGTAAGTTTAATTGCTAAGAGAAGAATATTTGAAATAAATAAGAAGAGTAAAAAAATTAAATAATAAATAATTATTAAAACTTTTGGAATTCATTTTTAAAACTTTTTTACTTTTTTTAATTTTTTGGAATATTTTTCAATTCTACGATGAAAGTGTTTTTATTTTTTTCGTTTCGAGAATATGATATAAGTAACATATTTATATTTTCAAATTTATCTTTCTCTAGCAGGAAAATACACATACGTGTAAGCAACGAACTGAAATAACGATTTGCAACAATTAAATTTCGTACGAATAACCTACTGCTATTATAACTGATTATTTCTTTATTTTTCTTGTAATATAATTACTACTGCTATTATTATTACTAATCGATGTTAATTTATTAAAGAATTCAAGTAGTGGAAATGAATTTTATTGAAATATATTTTTTTCACTTAATTAATAGTTAGTTACTGCTAATATTAGATAGACTATTTTGTTCATCCAAAAAAGAAAGGAAAAAACTTTTGGACTAAAGTAAAGAATAAAGAAACCGATAGTAATGACGATATATTAGTAATAATTCTTCCAATATTCAATTCAAATTGCATTTTTAGATTTGTGTTTTTAAATTACTACCCTATATTATATGAAATATTTGCATACTTTTAACGGTTATTTGCTTAATTTCCATTATTTTTTTATTGATTGCCTCTTTGTTTTTTCATTTGAAATGGAGTTTTTTCTGCATAAAATATGTCCAACTTTATTCCACTACTTATTCTAAACTTTTCACGAATCTACCTGATTTCATTTTTTCATTTCTACATTTCTTCAACTCTTCAGTAGCATTCCTTCTTTTAGTGATGACACTAAATTTTATTATTAATAACTAAAATATTTTTTTTTTCGGCTTTTTCTAAAAGGAAAAAAATTTTTGTTTTTAATTGATTATTTGAATGAAGTGCAAAACGAGAAATGTATATTGCAGTGTTCATTTTGATTTTGATGAAAAGAGCACAGCAAAACTTCGTGTACCAATGCTGCACTTTTATCAATTCAACAATTGGAGAAAAAAATTTCTTCATTTCAGAATTTCAGTGAAAAGAAAAAAAAAACGAAAACAAGAATGTCCTTTTTTTTTTCTTTTTTCACCTCTCTCTTTTTCTTTTCTTTTCCTCCCTCTTTCTCTCTCTCCGTTTTTTTTTTTTTTTTTTCAAAAGTTTTTCAAAAATTCAACAATAATTTTGCTAATTTTTTCTTCCTTGTTTTTTTTTTTTTTTTTACAAAATTAATAATACTGCAAATTTGACAAAACTTAAAATATTCAAACATACAAAATCTTTATTTATTATACTTTTTGCAGCTTCAAAAGAATTTTTTGCAAATTTCTTTACGCAAAAAAGAAAGAAAAAAAATTCAATTTTTTGTGCAAAGTCAGCAAAGAAAAAAAGTGCAGGAAGTAATTGTATGCACTAAAGATTGTGCTAAAGTATATCAATGCTGCAGTGTGCTGCATATCACTGATAATAAGGGAATAAATAGATTTATCGAAAGTATGTCAGTACTGATAACACGAGCAGATTAATTTATCAAAAATGTATCAATGCTTCAGTATGTTGCGCATCACTGATAACAATTATGGATGAAGTGAATACTCATTAAACACATTATAGTACATACAAACATTCTTAATTTGCCTATCACTGATAACAAGTCCATTGTGATGCATATAGACAAACCAAATTCCAGATAACAAAATATGCCTCATTTCTAAATAAATGAAGTACGATGATATTTTAGCAAATTTTAGCTGAAATTTTCACATTAATTAAATCTGACACAAATTTTCTTTTACAATTTTTCTTTTTTTATAAATTTTATTATAATGTTTCATTACAATTTTAATTTTATAAAAGCGAATCAAATATTTTCTTCTAAAAATCATGCAGTTTTATCTCGTTCTTTCTTTTTTTTCAAATTAAACATTGAATAATTTTTTTAAAAGTTGAAATTTATGGGAAAAAAAAAAGTTTATTTTGACAAGTTGTTATTATTTGCGATGATTGCTCAACAAATATAAAAGACTAATTTTGCAAAAAACAACCAATATTTTCCTTTTAAAAATATACAATTTTATTTTTTTCTTTTTATTTTTAAATGAATATTCTCTTTTAAATTTCGATTTTAAACTAAATAAATAAAGGAAAGAGGTGTATGTAATTAAAATTGCATATATGGAAGTAAAAATTTAATAACCTGAGTAAATGTAAATAATTTGCTTCTCTTTTTTTTCATACATTGCTTTATTTTGGATGAAATTTTTTTTAAGAAAAATAAAACTTTTAAAACTTTTTTTGTTTCCTGAAGTAATTTTCTTTTTTTCTACACAAGAAGATAACGTGATAATAATATTCAAATGAATGTGAAAAATGGTACAGTGCATTTGTACTTCGAACAACTAACTGATGCACTTTTGGATTTAAATTTTAAAAATATTAAATGAAGAAATAAAAGATTAACAGCAAATTGCAGCAACTATTTCTTTTTTAAAAAAATTAAAAATCAATTTAAATTATGCAGAGCAGAACTATATATGAAGTGATTTGTTATAGAAATTTTTTCTTTTATTGCTCCGCAATTCCAAAAATGTGGTATATATATATATATATATATATATATATATATATATATATATATATATATATATATATATATATATATATATATATATATATATATCCTGGAATGATTACTTCACAAAACCTGAATTTAATTTAATTATATATATTATCATGATATGCCAACAATATAATCTTGGCATTTAATAGTGAGAAATATTTAACTGAATTAAGCGATAAATTGAAAAAAGAAAAACTAATATTTATTTTGGTTTATAGGAAGAATTGGTCATTCAAAAAAAAAAAAAATTAACTTCGTATTTGTTACTGATGGTGATAGATTGATATGATAGTAGACGATGTGATATTTATTCCGGTGTTTTTTTAGATTTAATTATACTAAGTTATTATGATATACAACAGTATAATCTTAACATTTAATAAAAGTAGCACTTAATTGCTCAGCTAAAATAACCTTGCAAAAAAAAAAAAAAAAATGAAAGTCATAATGTATGTGAAGTTGTGTGAAACTTATTGAAAAGAAATTAAAGTATACGTCTAACTGCGTGATACCTTACTGCAAGAAATAGTAAAGACAGAAGTTATCAGTTATGAAACATTTATGTTTAGTTTCAAATAAAAATGCGAAAATGTTCGATTTGTCAACGAAATAAGAACGCTTTTTAATTTACAAGAAAGTTTAAAATACAACTAATTGTAACAAATTTTCATTTCGATTGAAAAAAGACAAAAAAATAGGGAACCGTAAAGTTGAAATTTACACCATAGAATTTTTATTTAGTAAGCGCTTAATTAGGTAAAACATTTTAAATTTCAATAATATGAATATAAGAGGTGAATTATATTACAAATTATCTTATCTAATTTAAGTGATATACGTTTATTGCATAGATGGTATGAGTTAGAAACATTTGATATTTAATTTTATTTTTCAAGTAATTTTAAGTACTGCAGATGTAAGTA